TATATATATATATATATATATATATATATATATATATATATTCATTAGTTTAAGCCTTAGTTAGCACAAGAGAGTTTAGCAGGACTCACCAATTTCCCTTTGATTATTAATGATCAAAAATTGCACAATTGGATCCATGTTCTGTTTTTTTCTATTTTCTGTAGAATCTGACACTTTATATTTTTAAAACAATGCTTTTACACCCCCTTCTTAGAGTTTACCTGTCAAGCCTGTAAATATATGTTTGCCCAGATGGGGGAGTCGTAAAATAAACTACAAAAGTACCATTTCAATACCATTTCTAAATGTAAACTGCTGTTAATTAATTAATTGTTATTTAATCATACTTTCTTTTTTTTATTATAGTCCTTGTGTAAACGTTCATAGTCACCTTATAAAGTGAATAGTTAGAACCTCAACTGGGACTCTTCTGTCATTATACTGTAAATGTAAAATCGGTGGATGGGAAATAATCCAGAGTTCTGCACCAGTACCATTTGTTGCAATTCACTTGTTGGCCACATCATTTGTCAAAATCAACCAATCAGAGCGCAGCTTTAGTGCCAAATTTGGTAAAGAATACACTTAGACCCGCCCCTCTTTGTACACTCGACCAATGAGAAGCCGCGCTCTCTGGAGGCTGCCCGAGATTCGACGAGCGAGGACGGATACGGAGGAGGGCTTGGCATCCGCTTTATCTTCAATGATTTAATCATGTAAAGTAACGGATTAAGGAAGCCTTTTTATCATGATGAAGTCAGATTTTCGAAAGAGGTAGTAGATACCAAGGAGCCTGAAAGTCTGCAAACAGGAGAATGCGCAGAGGAGGTAAATATTCGCGACTGAGCTGGTGGGAGGCGATGGCCCCTGCGGCGACCAAAGACATAAAGCGGAGTTGGCTAAGCTAACTAGCAAAACACCGGATCTTCTTGGCGGGACTTTCAGAATAAAACAACACCGTGAACCGAGGTTTAGTTAATCTTAGAGCTTTAAATAGAAAACTCATAATGATGTTTTAAAAAAATATATAAATCAATTAAGATTTACTCACGGCCATGCTGCCGCTGTTTTTCTTAGTAAAATTTGTAGTCGTTAAACGTTCCACTTTTATTTTGAACTGTACTTTAGCGGAAGTTAAGTCTTCCGGTCGGTGGCGCGTGCTAACTTGACAAAAAACAAAACGAGGCGAAGTTGAAGCCTCGAACCAAAACAAGACTTGTCAGCCCGCAGTGGACAACGTCGGCTTTTTATGAATGGAACCTGCCTCGTCTCCACGAGTGTTCTTCACGTGGAATGCCTTCGAACCCGGAGAGTCCGCCTTTTTTTTGAGAGAATGTATTCCTGCTGTGCAGCTCGGCGGGGGTGGGTTATTAACGGGTGGAATATTGCAGCGGAAACTGACATGAACTTGACTGTGCTCTTGTTAGCTCACTGGCCAATGATTTTTATTAAAGCATAAAGGCCAGGTGTTTATTTTTCTACACTGTCAAACTATTGTGTGCATGTTTATTTCGTAGACTACGTCCTTAAAGACGTGTTGGGTTTTAAATCGTCATATTTCTGTTCTTTTGCATCGTTAACCCTGCGAGCTGCTTCTATTTTATGTATTTCATAATCAAAAGAACCATCTAACGTGATATATTACTCTTTACTTTGGACCTTTTATTTTACCATGTTATTAACTAATATTTGCACCAAGATCAGCTGTTGCTGGTGCACATTTTATATGATTTATTATAATGAATAATCCAAACTCAGTAGCTGAACTGTCTCTTTTCTGTTTAGAAAGTAGACAGAATTTATGTGAACAAGTTCAATGGAAAGTACCTAAAATCACTGCTTTATGGACTTGCAGAGCTTTTTTTGTACTTTAAACATGTTTTCAAAAGCTTTTCAAAATGCACACTTGATTTATTTTACTAAAATGTTTTTGTCCTTTTGCCAGGTCTGCCTGCATGTCGTCAACATGGACCATCAAAAACTAAATTATAACAGGAAACACTTGTAGCTGGAGGAGGCTTGCCCATCCTAAACTTCTCCTCCTCCTCCTCTTCCTCCTGGCTCTCTTGGGATCAATGACCGGACCCAACTCCCCGAGCCGGACCAGCACCTCCCCGGCCAAGCTGAGCAGGTATGCCCGTTCCAAGAGCAGCAGCTCGCACTGCCTCCTGCGCTGCAGCACTCGGGAGGAGTCCTCCGCGTCTCCTCCTAACCATTCCCCCGAGGAGGAGGAGAAGGATGGCGGGATTCTTTTCTACGTTAATCGGAATGGTTTCCCCATTGAGAGCGTCACCTGGGAGAGGATGTGGTCCCACGTGGCTGCTGTGCATCCCGAAGGCCAGGAGATGGTTAACAGGATAAGAAACGCTACATACCTTCCAAAGGTAAGTGTTTTTTTTTTTATCGCTCAGTGTTTTTAAGTTGTAAATGAGCATCAAGATGATTTGTATAATTCAGTACACTTTTTATGTTTTCTGTGATAATAGATCAAAAATCTTTCTGTAATTAACCCGCTGATCTGTGGAACAGTTTGAGCAGATCTCTGTTTTTTTTTTTAAGTTCTCTTTTTTTGTCTTTTAGCTACTTTGAAAGACTCTGTGTTTAACAAACGAGCTGTAATGTTCAGTTGCGTTCACGCTAATAATTTCCTCAAGGACCACTTCTCTCTCTTGCTTCATAATCAGATCTTTTATTTTTATATTTTGAGGCAGACATTGCTTTGTTTTTTCCAGTGGAACATCCACACTGAGTCCAAAGTAACAGTACCAACACAGACGGACGTCACGTGTGTTCACATGACCGCAGCAGATCATGTGTGTTTAGTGATAGATGTTTTTTTATGAATGTTTTTTTCATGGAGGTCGCTGTGGCTCTGCAGCTGTATGAAGTAATCGGACACTTTAACGGGCACGACAACAAACACTGCGGTGCGCTTCTTCTTCTTTCGACTTTTCTCTCTTAAGAGGTCGCTACAGTGAGTCCTTCTCTGTCTCACTCTGTCCTCTGTGTCCTCTGTCCTCACTCCAACTACCTCCATGTCCTCTCTTACTGCATCCCTTTGTCTTTTTCCTGCAGCTGCATTTCTAACATCCTTCTACCAATAAAACCACTGTCCCTCCTCTGGACATGTCCAAACCACTGTCCCTCCTCTGGACATGTCCAAACCATCTCAGTGTGTCCTCTCTAACTTTATCTCCCAGTTGTTCAACCTGTGCTGTACCTCTGATGATCTCATTCCTGATCTTCTCCATCCTTGTCTCTCCTAAGGAGAACCTCAACATCTTCATTTCTGACACTTCCAGTTCTGTCTCCTGTCTTTTTGTCCATGTCTCTGTGTCCAGAGCACACAACACAGCTGGTCTCACCACTGTCTGATGAAGACGGGTTCAGTTTTGTGTCTTTATGTAACTGTTAGGTTGCTTTGATTTGTTTACAAATCATAAACGGAGACAAGGAGCAGGTTTTCACACTTAACGCGCTTTAATGTGAATGTTTTAGCATTTTTTTTTTTATCTTTAAATGACAATTTAATTTTTTATTAAGTTTTAATGTAGCACCTATATTATGATAAATGCATTGTTGTTACAAAATCCAGATGTCTTCCGTTTTATCGTAACACAAAGTAATCTTTATTTTGATCAGTGTTTGCACTTTTCAACATATTCAATTCCAGTTGAAGCATCATATTCTGTATAATTAGGAGTTTTAATTAGACAACTTTTTTTTAAATAGGTATGAATAATTATTAGCACCAAACTACATCTGCTGCAGCTGGACTCTGTCCCTGTGAATCTCTTGCAGCAGAGAGGAATTCATCTGTAATACGAGTCAGGGCATCTCATGTTGTCTCCCAGTCAGACGCAGAACTGTTTGTGGAGAAGTTGGTGTGCCCGTGGCGATTATGTCAAGCCGTTCTATTCACAAATACACATTTTGAATTGTGCGCACACAGGAATGCGTCGCGTTACCATGACGACAGTTGCGCTAAATGAGGCGTCATAGCTGTCGAGGAGCATTAAGTCTGTTTTTTTATTTATTTGTCATGGTCTGACTCTTTGTCACACTGGAACAAAGCTCGTGCAGACTTACAGGAAGTAGATGCTGGTTAGAAAGTGTTGCTTAATTTCTTCATTAAAGGCAACACAAAACAAACCAGGATCCTGTAAGTGATTAGATAAAATACTAATAAATCAATTGTTTAAGAGCTTATGAAATTAGGTTTCTTTCTGTAATGTGCTGTTGAACTCTAAAAGTCAGAGAAACAGTTTGATTATAGTTTGATGCATTTTTAATCGTTTTTTAACGAGTGGCAACAGTTGCAGTGACATTAGGGTCTTTTTTCAGTCTTGATTCAGTGTTTGTTGTTTTTGCAGAATAAAACAGAAGAAATGCTTCAGACCAGAAATAAAAAACATTTATGATTTTCATCCATTGTGCACTTTTCACCTAGATATTTTCTCATCAGTAATCATCATGACTGCTTGTTGTTTTCATGAGGAGGAGGGAATGTGGGTGTTGTTTTCCTTCTCCTAATTGGCCGTGTGGTCGTTAGTGACCTGGCTGGCAGCACCAAGCTCCACTCTGTGTTTCTGACACCAGCTGGACGAATGGGAACACAAACACCGCTCTGAATCCGGGCTTCGTTTTGGTAGAGAGGCTTTAAAAAGCTTGTGGAAATCATTGTCGTAACTTTAAAGTTACTCCATATGTTTTATAACTAGACAGTGTTTCCCAGCATCAGCGTTAAGATGAATGATGACGAGATTGACGTGGTGGATAAGTTTATATTCCTCGGCTCCAACGTAGACTGCAATGGCAACTGCACGCCTGAAATCAAGCGTAGATTAGCATTGGGGCGTGACGCGATGCTGAAGAGCTCAAACCGCACCGAGCGTCCGCCATTTTGAGAACTGAATAAAGTAAAGAGAGACAGCCCATGTCACGTCACGGGGCTTCCCTCCCATTTTTCTTAAAGAGACACGCTGCTCGCTCGCTCTGTGTGAGCGTAAAGTGTAAAAGCAAGATGTGACCACAGGTACAGCTGCTGGTGTCCTGACCCGGCCGGTTGACTTTGCACTCAGGCCGAGGAGACAAAGGACGGAGTGGAGACTAAAGAAGGACTTTCTTTTCAGGACAGTGAGAAATAAAATGAAGGATGCAAAAGTGTTTGACTTGTGTTAGATTTCTGTTGTCAATTCAAAATGTTTGCATGAAACATGATCCATATTTAAGACGATTCTCTTTAATCCCAATCCACATAAAAATGAACTTTATCATGAATATTCAGGAGTAGGAGGAGGTTGCTATTAAAAAATGATGCATGTTTCATAAAAACAGCTTTTTGTGTGCACGTCATCACTGACCTTCTTTCTGCTCTCAACGCCCTCATTAAAGAGGGTATTGAGAGCAACAGAATAATCCCTCAAATACAATCTGGGTAGAGGATAATCTCTGAATACCAACTGGACTACGAAGAGAAATGAATAAAAAACAAGAAACAAATTTCACAACAGCTGCATCTGTACAAGCCAACATAGAAGCAAAGCTTACGTTTTAGTTTAAAATATTAATTTTGTATCTTAGTTTTGAATGAATACTTTTGAAAACTCAGGATTTACACTTTATTAAGAGATTTGAACTTCTCTCTCTGACTCTTGTCACACGTCATACTCTTAAAACAATCTGATCTGGACGGAAACATGTTTAACATTTTCCTTAAACAAAGGATGAGAGCAGAACCTCTGATACGTGAACCTGTTGCTGTTTAGGTTCTGTTCTTGGACATTAGCACATGGGGGCTGTAGAGAAGATGAACTGAAAAGAACTGATATTTCAGGAAATAATCAAAATAAATTAAAACGCTTTTTAAACTTAGAACACAATCGGTTCCATTCCCGAACATAGAGAGAAGTAGTTAACAATATTTACCGGTAGTTAGTTGTGTTGGATAATTTTGTCCCCCGTCCCGGAGGAAAGAGAGGGAATTGGAACACCCTCCGTCTGTCCATGCACGCTGTGAGCATGATAACTTGAAAACTAAGTGAGGTACGGACTTCCATTTTAGTGGCTGGCTAGGTGTGAAAAAGCTTCCTTTCAAAAACTGGGTTGCCACGTCAAAATCCAAGATGGCTGCTGCCATATATTTATATATAACCTTGTAAGCTGGACAACTTGACAAATAGGCAACATGTTTTTACTGACATTTTGGTGTTTTGCTGCACTTGGGCATAAAAAAGACACTATCAGTAATTGGGTTGCCACATCAAAATCCAAGATGGCCACCACTATTATATGAATAAACTATAATTTCTGGTGTTTATATTTCTTAAAAGTAAAATGTTCTCAAATGATTGGGGTGGTCGTAGAATAATCTATGGTGGGCAAAGCCACCAGTGGCCACCCCCTGGCTCTCCACCATTGCTCCTGGTGGTGGAGAACATGGCTCCCTCCTGGATCCATCTCTCTGCGCTGCCTTGAACAGGCAATGAAACAGTAAATCTCCCTCAGTTTGTCTCCACAGTGTCACTCCTACTCACTTGAACATCCTGCACCCAAAACATTAAGGTTTACTTTCATTCCCTGTTCGGTTTCAGTTACGAAAAACTCAAACATTCAAACGCGTCAGCGACGGGGGACATCAGCTGTCGTGTTTATACAGATTACAAAGACTGCGTCCAGTCATCGCATGTTTTACAGACTTTTTACGACATTCTTCCTCTGAACCCTTGCCTGCAGCCTCGCAGCAAATAAATGCCACACTTTAATACTTGTGTCTGACCCAAAACCGTGAGCTAAGAAGGCTTCCATTTATTTTTTGTAAAACCAGATAAAATAACTGGACTGTTTCGTGAAGGAACACCTCGGCACAAACGCACACCGTAAAAGGCATCCCTCGGGATGTCCCACTCTAAAGATATCTGGACTGCAGGAAACATGATCTCCCTCTCCCAGCTGCTCTGTTCTGCTTAGTTGTCTTTAAGCTTTAATGTTCACACAGCAGACGTGGTTTACAGTAAATATCATACAGGACAATGGTTCAGAATTAAAACAATTGCCTTCGTGCAGCCAGGGGGGGCGGGGGGAGACAGCGGTCTGCTTTGTCTTGTCTCCTCCTTTGTACAGAGTAGATCAGGTTGTGGATTGTGTTCTGCGTGATGTTGGTCCACTCCTCAACGGCTGTGTGAAGTTGCTGGATATTGTCAGGAAGTAAAACACTGTCCAAACTCTGATCCAGAGCACCCCAAACATGCTCAGTGGGTGACATGTCCGGTGAGTACGCTGGCCGTGCACGGCCTGGGATCTTTTCAGCTTCCTGGAACTGTGCTCAGATCCTTGCAGCATGGAGCCGTGCATTATCCTGCTGCAAGATGAGGTGATGGCCGTG